CCCTTCCGTCCCAGACGAACGTAGCGAACTTGACACACACACACGTAGTGGAGTCGTAGATCGGGTCGTACAGCGGATCGGCCTGCGTCAGCAGATACGAGGTGATGCCACCGTGCTGCTTGGCACCTGCGATCGTAGCCGCAAGCTGCCTCAAATACTTCAGCGCAGTGTCTGAGATGCCCGACACGGAGCCACCGTGCCCAGCTGCTGGGAGAGCTCCAGTCCTCCAAAGTCGGGTTGCACGGTTGCCAGTTGCATGTTTCAGAGCAACGAACTTGTCACGACGACGTTTGAGAGCATGTAGCCTTTTCTTCTCCTGCGTGCGAACAACCCGACCAGCAGCTAATTCGTGCCCGGGATTTCTCATCCATTTACGAACAGGTAGATGCAGCCGAACAGCCATCTTCGAGAAAACCTTCCGAGCAACTTTGTTCCCTGCAATGGGCCCCGACTTTTTGACATGGGAGTGGAGCCCGAGATCCTTGGCATCTTCGGTGAACACTTTCACAGCCCGCTCCAGGAAACGCGCATCACGAGGATCCGATGTGACGAGCTGAATCGAGATGTCGTCGACGAGGGCTCTCGGTGTTATACAGGGCGATATGTCATTGAGTCTACGCACAGCACGCAGCGTGAGAAGGAAAAGCATGCCTGTCGCATGATTGCACCCAGCAAGGATGCCTTGATGCGAACAGAACTGCAACGACAAGCTGCCGAAAGCTCGAAGACGCCGTGGCTGCCTGTGCAGGTCCACCAGCATCCAAGCTAGCCGCATTGGAAAGTGCAACGCTTCAGCCTCTTTCAACAGCTGCTCCGAGTGAACCATTTCGAAACATTTGATCATGTCTAAGAGGACAGATATTGAAATATCACCGACTAGCGCAGCCATTTCGGCAGCAATGTTGTGGGCAAAAGCACTGTCTGAGGAACTGTGCCCACGACGAGTACCCCAAACAGCGTGGCAGTCATTACGCTCTTGCCAGTCGAAGGTGATGGGCTTGCGAACTTTGCCCCAGACACGGCACAGTAACGAGACAAGAGCGATCAGACGAGTCCCACCATCTGGTTTGGCAAGACGACACATCTCGTTACATACACGCTCTCTAGGCCAGACTAAGTGCAACTCGCACAGGTTAAAGAGTTCAGCAATCGCCGAAAAGGCCGATCTAGGCAAATGTATTAAAGCTCTTGGATGAATACCCATCATGCCTCCAGCAGTGCGAATGGGGTAAGTGTGAACGGCATCCTCCACCTGGGCGGCCGTGATGGGCGGCAGCATGGGCCAACTGGTGGACCCTCGGGGAAACTCAAGAACGGAACAACCGTGGAACAACCAAACCTCCTTCCAGGGAACAAGTTCGACATCGGCCTGCTGGTGGGGTGCCTCTCGCGCCTGGTTGCTTAAAACCTCTTGGATGGCCTTCACTTTTGAGAACCTGTGAGCTTTCGAAGCACCAGCAGAGAAAGCGTCCCTAGCCCATTGCCTCCAAGCCTGGGACGCCGCATTCTCCGCACGAGTGATAGCTGCCTTCGCACGAATGTAGATAGTAGTGAGCATGCTGGCCACATCAGGACGAGCGAGGACGGCGAAGCCGCCATTGAAGAAATCACGCACATCCGAATCGAGGCAACCCAAGACTTTTTTGCAGCGGGCGATGTTGGCCATAAAACGATCGAACTCATCAAATGCAGTGATAAGCTTGCGAAATTGCAGGGGCGCAGTAGAGCACAGAGCATCGTTTTCTTGCAAAAGCCTAATTCGCTCACTGAGATGTTCTCTGGCCTTGCCTAAGTGTTTGGCCCACCCAAGAGCTACAGCCCAGGCGCGTGCCTGCGGATCCTTATAAGTCCTCCTTCTGGGGGGAGTCCAGACAAGCTTTTTGAAGTGGACCTCCAGAGGCCCGCTGCGGCCAACATAGGCCTCGGCGGCTAAGCCAACACGGTCCCACCTGGCGGCCAACTCTCTTTCCACCCCTTCGAGGACGAGATCCCAAAAATCAGCAACCTTGGCTACAGAGTCAACTTGCGGGGCAGCGGTCGACAAAACCGAGTGCCACGGGTATATAGGAGGCCTAGCGCAGCCAATGGGAGGGGTACACGGGAAAGTTTTCGGGACCTTGGCCACCCTAGGAGGAGGAAGAGGAGGAGGTGGAGGAGGAGGAGGAGGAGGAGGAGGAGAGGAGGAGGAGGAGGAGGAGGAGGAGGAGGAGGAGGAGGAGGAGGAGTAGGAGGAGGAGACGGAGGAGGGAGGAGGAGGAGAAGGAGGAGGAGAGAGGAGGAGGAGGAGGAGGATGGAGAGGAGGAGGAGGAGGAGAGGAGGAGGAGGAGGAGGAGGAGGAGGAGGAGGAGGAGGAGGAGAGGAGGAGGAGAGGAGGGGAGGAAGGAGGCAGGGAGGAGGAGGAGGAGGAGGAGGAGGGGAGGAGGAGGAGAGGAGGAGGAGGAGGAGGAGGAGGAGGAGGAGGAGAGAGGAGGAGAGGAAGGAGGAGAGGGAGAGAGGGAGGAGGAGAGGAGGAGGAGAGAGGGAGGAGAGGAGGAGAGGAGAGGAGGCGGAGGGGAGAAGAAGAGGGAGGAGGAGGGGAGGAGAGGAGGGAGGAGGAGGAGGAGGGAGGAGAGGAGGAAGGAGGAGGAGAGGAGGAGGAGGAGGAGGAGGAGGAGAGGAGGAGAGGAGAGGAGGAAGGAGGAGGAGGAGCGGAGAGGAGGAGGAGGAGGAGGGAGGAGGAGGAGGAGGAGAGGAGGAGGAGGAGGAGGAGGAGGAGGAGGCGGAGGAGGAGGAGGAGGAGGAGGAGGAGGAGGGAGGAGAGGAGGAGAGAGGAGGAGGAGGAGGGAGGAGAGGAGGAGAGAGAGGCGAGGGAGGAGGGGGAGCAGAGAGAGGAGGAGGAGGAGGAGGAGGAGGAGAGGAGGAGGAGGAGAGGAGGAGGAGAGAGAGAGGGAGGAGGAGGAGGAGGAGGAGAGGAGGGAGAGGAGGAGGAGGGAGGAGGAGGAGGAGGAGGAGGAGGAGGGAGAGGAGAGGAGGAGGAGGAGGAGGAGGAGGAGGAGGAGGAGGAGGAGGAGAGAGGAGAGGCGGATGGGGGGGAGGCGGAGGAGGAGGAGGAGGAGGAGGAGGAGGAGGAGGAGGAGGAGGAGGAGGGCTTGCTTTGTCTGGACTTGGCCTCTCCTGAGCAGAGAACTGCGTGTCCCCAGCTCCACGCAGCTCTCCGGCCTCCCGACGTGGCCCTCTGGCGGCCTGCCTCGGCGGACCCCCTGGGCCCTCGGAGGGCGCTCCGCGACCGGAGCCCCCGGGTGGGTTGCCGAGGGGCGGGCTGCCGATGGCTCTCGGGGCTTCGGGGCTCCCGGGGCCCAGATCGCCGCGGAAGCTTCGGAGCCAGCTCCTGGGCCTCCTCGGCCCTCGATCCTCGGTCTGCCTCGTCGGCCTTCCCGATCCTCGAGCCTCGGAGCTGCACCTCCTGCTGCTCCTCCTGCTCCTCTTCCTCCTTGCCGTCGTCGACGGCCCGCCGTGCATGCGGCCTCGCCGCCCGCCTTGCGGCCCCCGAGGCGGCAGAAAAGCCAGACGCCCGTCGGAAATCGTTGGCACACTTCTCCTGGGTGAGGGCCCCGAGGTCCATCCGCGGACGACTTCTCTGCACCGTACCGCGCTGGCGTCTCCCGAGGCGTTGCCGATCCTCGGCCCACGAGTGGTGCGGTGCAGCTTTTCTGTTGCCCGTCCAGCCGAAAAGCTGGGCACCGTGCCGCGTTGGAGAGGGGCCTGAAGGGAGTCCAAACAGGGTACAATGCGGTGCATGCGCGGCGTTCTCGTACAGTCGGACCGAGGTATAAGATGGGGGTCGGTTCGGGGCGGGTACCCCAATGTTCGTCGTGCTTGTTGGATGCACTTGGGCACCCTTGGGAGGTTGCCCTTTGATGTTCTCTGTGTTTTGGCCAGCAGAGGGTCGCGTGCTCTCGAGGGGTGTTCTTCTGTCCTAGGGCTGGCATGCTGCCTGCCAGAGACCAGCGTCAGGTCGGAGGCGTTTTTTTTTTTTTTTTTTTTTTTTTTTTTTTTTTTTTTTTTTTTTTCTCTCTCTCTCTCTCTGGCAAGATCCTGTAGGGTCGGAAGAGGTGCCCTCCCTAAAATGGCGGCCGGCGGCGCCGCCACGTTCGGCGGCGGGGATCCGCGATTCTATGCCGCCACGCTGGTTCCGGGCAGGCTGTGCTGCCCGGCGGAAGGGGACGAGGAAGGGTCGGAGGCGTTCCAGAGAGAGAGAGAGAGAGAGAGAGCCTCTCGCCCTCGACGTGTCGCGTCTTCGGCGGGAGCCTGCGGAGGCTTGCAGCAAGAGTGGGGCCCATCTCCGCCGGCGGACGAAACGTGAGACGCCAACTTTTTCGGACGCGGGGTTTTTGGAGTCGGCCGTACGTCTTCCCCGCCCTCTGCCTCCCCATCTCCCCTCCTCCTCCTCCTCCTCCTCCTCCTCCTCCTCCTCCTCCTCCTCCTCCTCCCTCCTTCCCACTCCCGTCTCTTCTCCGAGGCCCTGGGATTTTTGGGAATCGGTATCCATCACATTGCAGTCCGGTCTTCCTTGGCCTCTTGAGGTGGTGGATACAGACATGTTGGTTCCGCTCTGAGGCTCACATGTCCATCCGTCGCCCCCTGGGGTCCCAGAGGGCATCCTTTCCCCAGGCGGTGGGGAGGTGTAAATATCCGCCTCGCATCTTCTTATTCTTCTTCTTCTTCCTCGTCCTTCCTCGTCCTTCCGCTCCTTCTTCCCCTTCTTTTTCTTCTTCATCTTACTCGTCCTTCATCGTCCTTCCTCGTCCCTTCTTCTTCTTCTTCTTCTTCTTCTTCTTCATCTTCCCCGTCCTTCAGTTCCGCCGCTGAGGCGCCTGTTCCACCTTCGTCCCCTCCTCTCCTCCTCCTCCTCCTCCTCCTCCTCCCTCCCATCTCTCTCTCTCTCTCTCTCTTTTTTTCATTCTCTCTTTCTCTCTCTCTCTTACTCTCTTCCTCGTCCTCCTCTTGTTCCCTCTCCGAGGCCCCCACCGTTGAGCCCGCTGCCGCAGTGAACCTGGAATACCTGTCCACCGCGCTCAGGCCCCGCATCCTCCCTTCACGCCCCGCGGGCAAGCCAAGGGGACCATGAAAGCAAGCCAATGGGATGATGATGATGGTGATGATCATGATGACGATGATATGAGGATGATGATGACAATGATGATGATGATGATGATGATGATGATGATGATGATGATGATGATGATGATGATGATGCTGATGATGATGATGATGACGATGATGAGTATGATGATGAGTATGATGATGATGATGATGATGATGATGATGATGATGATGATGATGATGATGAGTATGATGATGATGAAGATGAAGACGGTGATGATGCTGATGGTGGTGATGCTGATGACGATGATCATGAGGAGTAGCATGAGGAAGGATGGTGGGGATGGTGGTGATGATGGTGTAGATGACGTTGATGATGCTCATGATGATGATGATGATGATGATGATGATGATGATGATGATGATGATGGTGGTGGTGGTGGTGATGATGATGATGATCTTGATGATGATGATGATGATGGTGGTGGTGGTGGTGGTGATGATGATGATGATGCTGATGATGATGATGATGATGATGATGATGATGATGATGATGATGATGATGATGCTGACCATGATGACGTTGATGGTGATGCTGATGATGATTCTGATAGTGGCTATGGTGATGATAATGATGCTTATGCTGCTGCTGAGGATGATGATGACGATGCTGATGATGACTTTGATGACGATGCAGATGAGGAATCTGGTGAGGAAGGATGGTGGGGTTGATGTGATGATGCCGATGCTGATGATGATGATGGTGGTGACGATTCTGATGATGATGATGCTGATGATGCTGATGACGATGATGGAGATGGCGATTATGATGATGCTGATGATGATGCTGATGATCAAGATGATGGGGGTGGTGGTAGTGACGATGATGATGCTGCTGCTGATGAGGATTACCATTCTGCTGATGATGATGCTGATGGTGATGACGACGATGACGATGTTGATGACGATGATGATGATGGTGGTGGTGGTGGTGATGATGATGGTCATTGTTCCTAGGCTCCCCGGGTATTTCCCGCGGAAGGCGCAGAACTCTTCTTGACTCCTCCTTCTCCTCCTCCTCCTCTTCCTCCTCCTCCTCCTCCTCATGTCTCCTCCTCCCACCTTCCTTTCTCCTCCATCCTCCCCTTCCTCTCCTCCATCGTCCCCTCCTCCCTTCCTTCCCTCATCCCACCTGCGCTCGTCCCTCCTCTATCCTCGCTCCTCTTTCCTCATCCCTTCCCGCACTCCCTCACTCCCTCCCTTCTCGGCAAGGGTCCGCCGTGAAGACGGCCGCGAGCCCTTCTTCTCCCTGGACCCGGTGGTCGGCGCCGACACCGCGGCGATGCAGTCGAAGCGCTTCGAGCCCGCGTGGTTGATCGACACGTGCCTCGGGGAGGTCATGTTCCAGGCGGACTACCGCCTGAAGGAGGGACGCGGGGGAGGGACGGCGGGGGGGGGGAGGAGGGGGGGATGGAAGGCGGGGGGGGGGGCGAGAGGCATGGAGGGGGGAGAGGGGGGGGGGGGGGGAGGCGAGAGGGAGGGAGGAAAGGAAGGAGGGAGCGATAGATGTGTATGTGTGTATATATATATATATTCACAGAGAGGGATCTATATATATATATATATATATATGATGTACTATATATATATATATATATGGCAAGGCAATGGTGTCTGAGACGTCGTGTTTCACATCCTGGGCAGGCCCAGTGCCCCGGTTCCGTAGCCTCTCGAGCTGCCGAGGCTCCCCGCGCCGCCGTGCAGGGCGGGGGCCTTTGGCACCAGGCTCGTGAAGCTCGAGAGCGCTCTCGGGTGGTGGCGGCAAGCCATCCCGGCGGTGGCATAGGGCGACGAGATCTATGCATATCCACTGCTCCTGGCCAGGCCAATCCTGGGCCCAGGAGCGGTGTATACGCCCTCCTGGCCTGGCCAGGGAGGCATATACACAGCTCCTGGGCCCAGGATGGGCCTGGCCAGGAGCAGTGGATATGCATAGATCTCGTCGCCCTATGGCATGCATGCGGTGCGGTGCGTATTGCTCGCGGCATATTGAGGCCGTGTGTGCGCTCTGTCAGGAACCAGCGGCGCACGCCCAGCGCGCCCTGCGGAGGCTAGAGCGAGGCCTCCTGTCAGGAGTGTCTGAGGGGGTCGGCCGACCAGCTGCGCGGTGGTTCCAGTCGAATGACCCTGGCGGTGAACTGTGTGGCTTTCACAGTGGGGTTTTCGCCGCGTCGGGCTGAGGAGGAGGAGGAGGAGGAGGAGGAGGAGGAGGAGGAGGAGGAGGAGGAGGAGGAAGAGGAGAAACAGGATGCGGATGTTGCTTTTTACATCTACGGCTACATGTCCTCCTCTCAAGGGGACCAAGGTGAGGGCAAGACCTGAATATTCTTAGCCTTCTCGTTCTCCTGTGGCTTACGCCCAGCACAAACGCATTTCCAGTTTGTGCGCCTGGCTCCAGCACCTATAAAGGTGCAGGTCTTGGCGAGGTGCACCATTCTGCCACCAGGATTGCAATGGTGGCAGTCCAGGCAGATACAAAGACAATAACCATCAGTGTAGTTTAGCGGAGCACACCGACGGTTATCTGCCAGAGGCTTTGGGAGTCAACCAGGGGAGCAACACGCAGATGCCCAGTGGCGGGCGATCGACACCTATCGCCCCTCGAAGGCAAGCCGTACATTACCAGAACGTGCTGGCCCAGACCCAGTAGTGGTCGGGACTGCTGGGCACTCAAGCGCAGCCACAGGTTTCACACATTCCACATCCGTGAGGTCCAGGCGAGGGCACAATGGAAGAACTTTGGTGGCAACCCATGTCGCACCACGCGAAATCTTGATATGCGTCTCTACTCTTGCCAGGGTCTCGGGGTCGGGTCTTGGGTTGGCCTGGGGATCGAGCTTTCCAGCCTTGTCGGCCGCGTCGTTCCGGGCACGTCGACATCTCTCCGATGCGGGGATTCCCTCCTCATGCCGGTCTTTGCGGGCCGCAGCTTTGGAGACGCCATTTCTTTTGTCGACAGTCCCAACAACACCCTCGAGCATACACTTTTTTTTAATCTGCGGGGCGAGAGCGAGACTCTTCCGCTGAAAGCTAAGCGGGACGCGTACAGCTTTAATTAGCAGAGAAAGGGCGAAAGAAGGTGGGGCCTCACAGCGGCTGGGAGAGGGCGAAGCCCTGGGATCAGGCGGTGCCGAAGATGATGTGCAGGAAAAGATACACCCTCGACCACACACCCAGAGTACGTTCTCTGCCCGTAACTTTAGGCTCGATCTTGGGCCGCTCGACGGCCGACCGCAACGCCACACCAGCACTGTCCGAGAAAGGCGCGGAGTTCCCGTCCAAGTTGATTCCCCCCCCCCTTATCGTTGCCCCTCAACAGTTGTGCGAGGGGGAGAAGGCCAGCAGCTGTGCTCAGGAGAGAGGCTCTCGAGGGCCACCCTGGAGTTTGCCGTCCTCTCTGCTTGGGGCTCGCTGTCCCCTATACTCATGGAGCACCCACTGGAAACCTTGGACGGCAGAGCTGGAAAACTCCCCCGCTTGCGACGTCTGGGGGAGGTGGTCCCACACAGGACCATAACACCACAATGCCAGCTAAGCGCATTGCCTTCCTGTGGGACTTTGCAGAACCCCCAACCAGCCCCACGAAGCTCCCCAGTCGCCGTCCAGGAATGTCTCCCTGGAAGGATCCCCATCTGAGGACCCCCCCAGCCACGGCCTCCTGAATTGCTTCTTCGAGCTATTCACAGACAGTCCTATGCAGATTCTTCTGACTCGGGGGTCTCGAGCAGGCATCTCCGGGATGATGGAACACCCCCAGAGCACACATCAGTAAGTCATCGCCCGCCACGCTGCGCGCCTCAAGCGCAGCACTAATGCGCTCCACCTCCACTACCTCCTCCCTCTGTGTCGAGACTGCTGGACTCCTAAAATCAGTGGTTCAACATATCCTCCATAGTCTGGCACAATGGGCAGAGTGGCGAAAGCTGGTAGCCTTTAGTGGATGCCCTGTGTCTCCTCCAGATTCCAGATCGCATTGCAGTAGAAGGATCGGTGGCACCCCTTCTCTCGAAAGTGGAGTACCGCTTCGATCAGAGGGCCGACTGGACCACATCATAGCGCAATCGAGGATAGATCGCCGCTGACGGCGGTGGACCGCCATGCACCGCACCCTGCTCATGCTTGTCTGCCCCACTGACAGGAACCTTGTCGAAGAGACTTGTCCAGGTACTTTCCTCCCCCTCCTCCTCCGCTTCCTGTCTGCCAGCTCCTCCGACTCCCCTACCTCCGAGAGGAAGAGAACTTGACCTGGCGCTAGACAGAAACCCGCTGGTATCTTCCAAGACGCCAGCACACCCACTAGACGCAGAATGCACTTTACCTTCTACAGCACCAACACGAGATCTTCCCGACTGAGAAGGTAAAGGACGCGAAAATCCCGATTGTGGCGATCGAGCGCAGGCTCGAACACTAGCTGTGCTTGCAAAACACCCTCCATCCACTAGCTTCGCAAATGACAGCCTCCCCAGCTGCCGCATAACGTCCCGAAGGAGATGCTTGATACGCGCTGGCGATAGTAGGGTACGTGAAACATGTCATCCGACTAGGTCCACAAAACAACGATGGCTCGCCATACTCCAGTTGATACCTTGTAACGATAAATACATGTCTGACATCGGCTTCGAAACCTTCTTCCAGGTCGTGTTCTGATGTTTTTCCCATTTGAAATCCTATCCTTCGACGTCCGAAGCGTAGCCCAGTCTAGGCAACCACGAAACGACCGGGAACTGAAACCGACACGCTTCTTTACACTGTCTGACGATGGGCCCACACAGGGTCCCCCTTGAGAAGGGTATGGCCAGCGAGCGACTTCCTGAGTTCGGCTTCAAAGCGTTGGTCGCCTGTCTCCGCACTGCGTGGACCTCTCCATCCGTCGAGCCGTGGTTCTCCGCTCCGTAAATCAGCCCAGGCAACATGCCGCTAGTGAAAACTTTTATGGCTCTCCGGCCGCAGTTCTGGACGCCCGAAATGGGTACGGAAAGAATGGGCACAATGCCAACAGCAGTTCCTGTTCATTTTGAACAGGATTCGCTGTCCACGCCGCCGCGGCCTGTGTCCATTTGAGACAGAAGGCCGCCTGCCCAACAGCCCCCGCTGTTGGTTTGGGACAACATTTGTTGGGCATTGTACCCATTGTTTCCGTACCCATTTCGGGCGTCCAAAGCAGTGACCTCAGAGTTTCTTGAGTCGACGAAGTTTCCGACGAAACCGAGTGTTTCGATCCGCACGTTTAGCCATTTGGTTGTTCCTACCTTTCTTGTCAATCCTGAGAGCAGTGCCAGCAGTGCCGTCGCACTGTAAGTTGACGGTGGAGACATAAAGCTTCCCAAAGGAGCCGAGCCTTGTTTCCATTTCCGCTCCTAGCTTGGGGAACGAGCAGATGAGCGCGACCTTTTGCATAGCAACCTCCCCCCAATCAAGATGGTGATGGCATGGTGCAAACCCTGAGCCATCCCTAAGATCGCCATAAGCACAAATAATCTCGAGCCTATCGCCGACACATTGGCGTCGTCGATGTAAGCATCGAAGCTGCGAAACTGGTGCTTGACACCTTCTCCATCCCACCTATCCTGACCGATTCCTTCGTTACCTATACCACAAAGAGACCTCGGCACTGTGTCGAAAGCGTCCAACGCGTTCAACTCTAATCAAACTGGTGGCCATGCTCTCCTGCAATGGTAATTGAATTGCAAACTTGGGGCTGGATCTCAGCCCAGCGAGAACCATACAACGAGCACCCCTAAAGGCCGAGCCGCAAACATTGAGGGTCCCTCCAGGGAGCCTATGCCTCTGTCTTCGGATTTTTGAAGCTTCCAGGCATATCAACGCGTACTACTTGAACATGTTCCACAGCACCGAGGCCGAACAAAAGCCCTTGCCTAACTCCGCACTCCGACCAGAGCGTCTGCCGCCAGGCAGTGACTAAACCGCCCCTGTGCTTCCCCGCCTGAGAGTACCCACGGCAGTTGGGCTGCTGCCCGGCCTCAGCGAGAGGCCTCCGAGCTTTCCCTCACAGCTCGCACTCCGAAGGGGCAACGCCCATGGGGCGGCAGCTCTCCGAGGGCTTGCCGAGCAGCGCAAGCGCCACGGCTCGGATCTGATCCGGGAAGGGCAGGAGGTGCGCTCCGTGGCACCACGAAGACGAGTGAGCAAGGCCAACGACTCGTCACCCATGGGCTAAACGTGCCCGAGGTGGAACAGGTCGAAGGAGACCGCGCTCCTCTCGGGATACGTTTTGTTGAGGGCTCGAAGGTCCACAACAGAATTCTCTGGCAAGGGGTCACTCGACTCAAGCATTCTCTTGGGGGGTTCTCCACGGACCTTCCAGAGCCCAGGGAAGTTGTGGATCTCCTGGTCCAGGAGAGCCTGCGGATCCGCAACCACCTGCCCCTCAGCCGAGAGCATCACCGTAGGATAGCAACCCTGGGGGTCCCGGATACCACAGCGGGCTCTCCGAGCCCTTGGTACAATTTGGCGGTGAGCCGGGCATGTCAGTCCTTCTTCGCAAGATCGCAGTGGGCCTGAATCCACGAGGACAGGATGTCCTCCTGCTTGCTGTAGAACTGGCCCATGTCGGCGACCAGTCCTGGCCCTGTGGAACCAGAACTCCAGAGACCTAAAGATGGAACGATCGTCTGGATCGTCATCGTCATCATCGTCATCGTCATCGTCATCGTCGTCGTCGTCGTCGTCGTCGTCGTCGTCGTCGTCGTTATCGTCAGCGTCATCGTCATCGACATCGTCATCGGCTCATACTCACGGTGCTGATTTTTGATCCAGTCTGAAGCCCCCAGGAACTTCAACACCAGGCTTTCGACAAGCTTGGCTTCTTCCACGGAGCACTCCTCCTCGAGGAACTCCCTGAGAATCTGAACAGTCGTTTGAAACCTCGAAAGGGCCCACTTGTCAGCGTGCAGAATGGGATACGGCATCCCTCTGTAGTCGGAACGAATGATGCTCTTCCACTCGACCTGTTGCCCTTTCCTCCCAATGCCGAGGTAGTGACGGACAGCATTGAAAGAGCTCAACTTCCGACTTGTTGGCCCCGATCTTGTAAACCGTGGTTACGAGTTCTCCAATGTTGCTCGCCTCTCCATCGTGGATCGCCCTCTCACAGAGGTCCAGAAGGTGGTACCCCTTGGAAGAGTCTCCTGGCCTCGGAAGCGGACCAGGATTGAGCACTACGGGCAAAGCGGGAGGCGTTCTGTACCCAAGGAGCCTGAAGGCAGCAAAGCGGGGGGTGGAAATCAATCGGGACAGCGACTCGTGCGTGTGTACTCCGTCCCTTTCCCGCCCTTCTGCGGCCGCTCTCCGCCTTGGCCCCCTCTCTTGCTGCCAGCTGGGGCGTGCCCGAGCCCGGCCCACCGGGGCGCGCGTGCGGATCGCGTCTGCCGCGCTGCGACGTACAGCGTTGGTGCAGGTGCCTTCGATCGGCAAGCTCCAGCCGCTGTATACCCTTGGCAAGATGCTGGGATGGCAGGAAGTAGTCGAGACTGCTTTCTCAAGTACGCATGCACGGCACCTCATATGCACACATTGTTTTTTGAATCGGCTCCGTGAACAAGTCAGGCTCCAGATTTACACTTCTACCCAGGACAAAGCTGCTACTTTTCAGGGACAGATCACTACCTGCCGCACCGAGCAAGTCGAGCTGCCTGGTGGTGAGGCCTTCCGCATTTCTTCTCTAGGTGGAAGCGAATAAACACGTTGCACCGCTAGGCAGATGCGCAAAAGCTCCAATTGCCCGATCTTTGAAATTGGTGGTCCCGCTCGAAGGCAGGTGAACTGCCATGAAGTCTCGTACCAGGATAGCCACCCCTCCCGACGTGCCCCCTCAGGCGTACGTAGAGGGGCCTCCCATATCGATTTCTAACCGTGGTCCAAGCAACACTTTGACGCACGATCGATGGTGTGAGGATCACAAAGCCAGCGCTCCTGAACCAAACTCATGTGACTATTGCTGCAAGCTGGTAACCAATGCTTCACCGATCTCCAAATGTTGCAGCTTGCCGTCGTTACTTGAGTCCGAGCTCGTCCAGGAGGGGACGGGAATAACCCCCTAGGGAGACATGCAGTTTGGGTAAATGAGTAGAGTCTTGGAGACGTCCCAACGCGGAGGACCTTAACGAGCAGCTTCACCCGCCCACGTTCTGACCTGGTTGGCATTCGAATTGTCAAAGACCACCTCCTCTGTCCATTCAGGCGGGGACGGGGTGGTCGGAAGGCGCTTGTTGAAAGAAGGCCTTAGCACGCGAAAACCTTGCGCTCACATATTCTGAGACAGGAATGGTTCCGCCAACCTTTTGAATTCGAGGAGACCCCCTTGGAAACACCTGGCTCACCTGCGGGCTTCTCAGAACTGGCAGCTGTGCCGCCAGCTCCGCTGCCATCGTCGCTAGCACCAGCACCAGCACCTTCTCGACTCTGACCTGCCACTGCACTTCCTTCCGTACGCCGTTTCAGCAGGACAACGTGTGTTTTGTGTTCATCTCGTATTTCGGCGATCTCCTGATTTGCAGCACCATAGTGGTCGGATGCCATCTTCTTGATCCAATCCTCGAGCGTCTCCTTCCTGGTGGAGAGGGGTTCCTTGTCCTCTTTCTTGAGCTCAAGATTTTCGTCCAACCCAGTTGCAAGAACAAGACCGAGAGGCGAACTGTCACTAGAGAGCAGTGCTTAGAGAGAGAGAGAGAGAGAGAGAGAGAAAAAAGCTTTGCGCAGCCATCGGGGGAAGGACCAGCTCTTGGTGCAACTCGCTCCGCCATTTGAGAGAAACCAACTCTTTGTATTTACTCTCATGGCCACACAGCCCGTCGAATCGATATTGTATGAGTTCTTCTTGCTTGGCCATGTCAGACCTTCAGCGTTCCATCTTCCCGAGGTCATGAACCAGCTTCATCTCGTAAGTCTTGATTTTGGACGCAGCTTGTGCCACTTGCAAATTCAATGAAGCTGGGGCCTTCGGCTGTGACTTGCTGACCATGTCGTCTCTGGCAGCCAGGGCCCTCTTGTGAAGAGCGATATCCCCTTGCTTGGAAGCGATTGCCGCGATGGAAGTCAGCTCCTCGATGTTCAGCCCCGCGAAAAAGAAGGACAGCTCAAACTTCCACCGGACCCGACAGGACCAGGAGCAAGAGGAGTGCGAGGAGCGCCATCCCCTTCACCGTCGGTGATCGCGAGCTGCCACCGAGATGACGATTTTCAGCTCTTCTTTGTGGCCTGACCCCCCGAGCAATGAGAGCGACAACGCTTGCAGTACGTCGAACTGGGATTGTTCTTTGCGCAGCCGCGCTGCCCACAGCTCCACCCTCCTTGAGGCTTCTTGCCGAGGGTCGGAGGAGGAGGAGGAGGAGGAGGAGGAGGAGGAGGAGGAGGAGGAGGAGGAGGAGGAGGAGGAGGAGGAGGAGGAGGAGGAGGAGGAGGAGGGAGGAGGAGGGGAGGACGAGGAGAGGAGGAGGACAGGGATAGGGGAGGGGGAGGAGGGGAAGGGAAGGGAAAGGAGAGGCTCGTGGTTTCTTAATGTTTTTTTGGTTACTTTGTGGAGCTTCGGGAGGCCCCCAAGGAAGTCCTGGGACTTTTGCCTCCGCGGTCCTCTGGACGTGCGGGGGAGGGGGGTGGGCAAGGAGAGGCCGTGAACGTGTGGCACACGAAAGATCCATTCTTCGAGGTGCGGGGATTGCTTGAACGTGCGGCCCTCGACGGATGGATCTTGGCGCCCTTGGCGAGGGGAGGGAGGGAGCGGGCAGGGAGGAAGGGGGGAGGGAGGGAGCGGGCAGGGAGGAGAAGGGGGGAAGGAGTGAGGGGGGATGGGGAGGAGGAGGAGGAGAGGAGGAGGAGGAGGAGGAGGAGGAGGAGGAGGAGGAGGAGGGAGGAGGAGGAGGAGGAGGAGGAGGAGGAGGAGGAGGAGGAGGAGGGGGAGGGGGAGGAGGAGGAGGAGGAGGAGGAGGAGGAGGAGGAGGGGGAGGAGGAGAGGAGGAGGAGGAGGAGGAGGAGGAGGAGGAGGAGGAGGAGGAGGAGGAGGAGGAGGAGAGGAGGAGGAGGAGAGGAGGAGGAGGAGGAGGAGGAGGAGGGGGAGGGGGAGGGGGAGGGGGAGGGGGAGGGGGAGGGGGAGGGCAGGGAAGGGGAGGAGGACAAGTGAGCGGGGGGGTGGAGGGAGGGATGGAGGAGGGAGGGAGGGAGGGATGCAGCCATGTGCGCGTGGTTCTTTCCCGCATCGTGGACGCCACCCCGCGCCGTGCGCCAGCGTCCTGCAGGGCCCGTCTGCCATCGCCGCCAGGGGGGGGGCAGCACCGCACGGGGAGGGAATGAGGAAAGAGGGATACGGTCGGGACTTTGGCCCAGCGTGTCGCTCTGCCGTTTCTGGCCCACCGCGCTGCGGCGCGACTCACCATCGCCGCCCTGGTTCCGAAGAGTCGACGTCCCGAGGCTCTCCCAGCCGCACCGCGACACGTCATCCGCTTGCAGAGCACAGCGTGTCGCGGGGCCGCCGCCGCGACACGCTGAGCAGAAGTTGTGGGATGGAAGGGGGAGGGAGGGCGGCACAGTGGAGGAGACGGGGAGATCCTCGCCCTCCTCCACCTCCTCCCTCGCCTCCTCGTCTCTTTCCTCGTCATGGCCCTCCCTCCCCCCATCCTCCTCCTCCTCCTCTTCCTCCTTCCGTCCTCCCTCCCGTCCTCGTCCTCGTCCGTCGTCCTCTTGCGGAGCAGGGGACGGAGGGAGGAGCTCTCCATGGGTGAGCATATGCAGCCCGTCGTGGGAATGAAGAGCTGTTCCGACTTCTTCGACGGCCGGGAGAAGCACACTGACTGGAACGCGCGCGAGTGGTTCTCGACCCGCAGAGAGGGAGGATTATGATGGTGATGCTGCTGATGATGATGACGATGATGCAGATGATGAGTTGTTGTTTATGATGATGATGCTGATGCTGATGCTGATGATGATGATGATGCTGATGATGATGATGATGCTGATGATGATGCTGATGCCGATGATGATGCTGATGCAGACGGTGATGATGCTGAGACAGACGGTGATGATGCTGAGGATGATAATGATGCAGCTGCTGCTGCTGCTGCTGCTGCTGCTGATGATGATGATGATGATGATCATGGTGGTGGTGATGGTAGTGGTGATCATGATGATGCTGATGATGATGATGATGAGGAGGAGGAGGAGGATGAGGAGGAGGAGTATGAAGATCGAGGACCGAGGATCAAGGATTTGGGTTTTGGGGTCTTTTCGCTCTTTGTTGGTCTCTGGGGGCGCTCTCGTGGCCGCGCCTTGATTCCCTCCGAAATCCTGGCCAGAAGTCCCACTGCGTAGAGGGGTCCTGGGGCCGATTTTTCGGTTGGACCCCCCAATACGGATGAAGTGCTTGGCCAAAGATACCTCGCATCTTTGCCCTGTTTCTGCCTCAGCCAGCCAATTCAGCTGACCAGCTGTTGCAGCTTCGATGCCGTAGTGGCCCTGCAGCCTTGGCTACTTCCACTTTAAGGGAATCTCAGTGTTCCGTGTGTTTCCACACCAATGCTTAGCGTAGTATTGCCTTTCGCATCGTGGCCTGGCAGCATCGACGTGCAGCTTAGCGTAGCAGGGCGTAACATGGCATGGCGTGGCACAGCATGTCAGAACTCAGCATCCCTAAGTATAACTGATTATAGTTTTGTTCATGTGTATGTTTGTGTATCTATGCATACTATCATTTGTATATATGTACGTATGCAATGCAATGTAACGTAACGTAATGTAGTGCAACGCGTTGTAATGCAGTGCATTGTACTGTAATGTATTATAATGCAACGTAATGCATTGGAATGTAATGTCCTGTAATGTAATGCAATGCAATATACTGCAATGTGATGTAATATAATTAAGTGTAACTATATTTGTATGTAGGTGCGTATGTATGCGCGCATGGATGTATGTATGCTCGTATGTATGTGTGTACACCTGTATGTTTGTATGTATGTACGCATGCATGCATGCGCGCATGCATGCATGTACGTATGTATGCTTGTATGTGTGTACAGATGTATGTATGTATGCATATATGTCTGTCTGTCTGTCTGTCTGTCTGTCTGTCTGTCTGTCTGTCTGTCTGTCTGTCTGTCTGTCTGTCTGTCTGTCTGTCTGTCTGTCTGTCTGTCTGTCTGTCTGTCTGTCTGTCTGTCTGTCTGTCTGTCTGTCTGTCTGTCTGTCTGTCTGTCTGTCTGTCTGTCTGTCTGTCTGTCTGTCTGTATGTGTGTGTGTGTGTGTGTGTGTGTATTCCTCTTCCTATATTTTTGCAAGCCTGGGCGGGGGGAAAACCCGTCCCCCCCCCCCCCCCCCAAAACTGGACTCCCGGGATCTGGGGCTTTGGGACCCTCCGGACGGGCCTCGAAGCGGCCCCCAGGGCCTCGCAGGGCATTTTGCCAAGCCTTCCCAGCACACCTAGGGCGATCAGGGGGGTCATCGGAGACGTCCCAGAGACCCCCAAGACAGCACAAGAGCGCTCCAAGAGTGACCGACGTGACCTCAAGATGGCCCAAAAGGCCTCCAGGACGGCCCCAAAGAGGCCTCCAAGAGCACCCCCAAGAAGGCCCCAAGAGGCACAAATATTTGATTTTCTGTTGGTTTTTGCTGAATTTGGGGGTTCTCCTTTTTTCGGCTTCCCGACACTCCAAGACAGCGGTCTTCTGGGCGTCCGAAGCCGCCTGGGAGGCTCCAACATCGCCCCATAACCATCCGAAAGGGCTTCCAGGCAGTCCAAGAGAGCCCCAAAACGGCACAACACGGGTCCAAGATGGCCCTCAGAGAGCCCCATGGCGGCCCAAGATGGCCCCAAGACACCCTCCGAAGCTTTCCAAATCGTGACCCGGTCGTTCCGGGAGACCGCGGTTGGAGGCAGGGTGGCCCGAGGAAGTCCCCAGAGGCCCCCAGAATACGCCCAGGAGGCCTCCAGAAGGCCTTGAGAAAGCCTGAAACAACTTTTGTGAGGCCCCCAGAGGCTCTCCCAGGAGGAGCCTCCGCAAAAAAGAGCTGAGGAGGATGGGGAGAATGCGCAGGGTACGGCGAAAGTAAGGCAAAATAAGCATGGAGGAAGGATAACGAATAACATTATCATAGCGGCGATGCCGGAAAAGGCAACAAGGAGTTATCTCTAAATTGTCGGCTTGACCTTCCTGCTATTCCGCCTGCATACCAAACTTCAAGGACCAAGGTGCATGGCGCGAAGCGCCACTGCAGTCTTGTATATATATATATATACATATATATATGCGTACTGGTCGCGATGAATCGGCTGGCTGACAGCCACCAGACAGAGATTCTTGTTGTATCCTTTGGCGCGCGGTCGTTGCCCAGACCAAACACTAATTGGGGGTCCAACCTCGGTCTTTGGCCAACACGTATTGGATGTCGCCCACCCTCGGGTAACGGTGACGACCGTACGAAAGTGGGGGGCAGGGGGGCTGGACCCTCCCCATCTGCTGGCGCTCGCGCACATGCTATGCTGATCGCAGCGCACCTCCGTCCCGACGTGTCCCGCCCCTCCCAAGCGCTACCGTCACCCGGGCCCCCAACCCCCTCTCCCGCCTCTCCCCTTGGTGACGACCGTTACCCAGAACACAGGCAAAACAACATCACAGCGCTTGTCTTCACAAAACAAGTGATAAGCCTTCGGTAAAGCTCTGTACTTGGTGGGACAGTGAGCTGGCAGGGGTACAGCTGGCACGATGGTCAAGAACAGCCCTGGCTTGGGAAGGGCACTGCTCTGTTTCTGGTGCTTGGGATCTCCACGTGGGATGCTTTCCTTTTGGGCATCTCCAGGAAGCCTTTGGCCTCCGGCTGAGGGGCTCATGTTCTTGTCCCATGTTTTTGTGGCCATGCTCCGACTGCAAGGATCACTTCTGGTGGCCTCCCCTCAGCGCCCGAAACGGGGGCGATGCGGATGGGTGGCGATGGCCGGCGATGGCCCTGGCCCCCTGGCGGTTTCCGTGGCGGGCGTGCCCTGCCTCAGAGCTAAAAGCTATGCCTGCCCAGCAGCAGCGGCTGCAGTCCACCCCGGGGATCCTCGCTTCGTGGGGCATCGCTACCGTCGCTGGTCGCCCCCCTTGTAGACGTCTCGAGGTTCGTGGTCAGGAAGGCCAGCGTTCTGGTGTCAGGCTGGGAAGGGCGAACGTCCGGGCCTCCCACACTGGGGGCCCGAGGAGGCGGGGTCGGAGGATCACGCCGGATCGCCGATGCGCTGGCGACGCGGCGCGATGCGGAGTCCGATATCCTCCGTCCCGACGTCGCCGGTGCACCGGCATCGGCGATGTGGTGCGACCTTCCGACCCCATCTATTTCTGGCCCCAGCTGGGAGGCCTCCAGAGCAGCACAGCTGGGACTCAGCGTTCTCTGGGGTTCAAACGGAGGGTCGTCCCTCTTTTGTGGGCGGCGTCGCCAGGATCCAGGGGCCCATGAAGAGATCTTCGAGCGGGTCTTGGTATGAGTGAGGCGCTGGTGGCTTCCCACAGGGGACAACGCGCTCATCCCGTACATCAGCATGGGCGTGGAGGCGCGGGAGCAGGTGATGTCTGACAGCGGCATGGTGGACGCGCAGGTCACTCGGCCCGACCACCCCCTGGCTCGATACGCGGAGGTCTTCACCCAGAAGTTCGACCTGATCGCGGAGCGCCTGAGCGTGGTGAACCAGCTCCGCGAGGTTGCCAAGGCATCAGTCCTGGCGAAGTACCTCCTCGATTCTGGGGCGCACTTGGACGAGTCCTGGTTCAACTTGGCGAGCGCATTCGAGGGGTCCAGGGTGACACAGGTACCCCAGCTCTGGAACGAGCGCTATCACGCCAAAGTCCAGGTCAAGGACGGCACTATTGATGAGGAGGCTCTCAGACCGCACATGCTTGGGGTGTACGGTGGTGTGCAGTTCGGGCTGGAGAAGTTCACCGTGGGCGCGCGGGCAGCCTCTGCCTCGGTCCAGTTCGCTCGTGTGGGGGCCCGCGGGCCCATGCCGCGCGTATCGGCGGCGCTCTCCATGGCGACCAGCGTGACTGGGGGGCTCCGGACCCCCGCCATGCGAGCCGCGGTGTCCATGCGAGCAGGGGGGGTGCCGCGCGGGGTGCAGTTCGGGCTGGAGAAGTTCACCGTGGGCGCGCGGGCAGCCTCTGCCTCGGTCCAGTTCGCTCGTGTGGGGGCCCGCGGGCCCATGCCGCGCGTATCGGCGGCGCTCTCCATGGCGACCAGCGTGACTGGGGGGCTCCGGACCCCCGCCATGCGAGCCGCGGTGTCCATGCGAGCAGGGGGGGTGCCGCGCGGGGTGCAGTTCGGGCTGGAGAAGTTCACCGTGGGCGCGCGGGCAGCCTCTGCCTCGGTCCAGTTCGCTCGTGTGGGGGCCCGCGGGCCCATGCCGCGCGTATCGGCGGCGCTCTCCATGGCGACCAGCGTGACTGGGGGGCTCCGGACCCCCGCCATGCGAGCCGCGGTGTCCATGCGAGCAGGGGGGGTACCGCGCGGGGTGGACCTCAACCTTGACGGCTTTGAGTTCTCCGAGACCGAACGTGTCTCGGACATTGTGTTGTCGGACGCGGGGTCGGCCACCCCCATGGGCTCCAGCTTCTGGCAGATGATCGACGACCACGATCCAGAGGAAAGCTTGTTCGCCGATAAGGAATTCCATGGGATAATCGCGATGACCATGACCAAGATGCCGCGGAGTCTTGTCGACGCCGACCTTGGTCATGGTCCATGCTGACCGTCGCCGACTCTCGAGGATGATCCACGACTTGACGATGACCAAGACGGACGATGGCCAAGGTCGACGCCGACCTTTCTGCGCTCCGCCTGGATCACGGCCGTCGTGCTCCTCCCCTCCGCAGGACGTGGAGCTCCTCCGCGCCGTGTTCCACCCGCGCCTCTCCGACAGACGCGCGGAGGGCGACCTCTTCGTGCCCCCGCCCACCTGCGGCGCGCACGCGGCGAGGCTGCGCGCGCTCGTCCGGGAGGACCGGCGGCTGCCCTGCCGAGCCGCTCCAGCGCGCTGCCCTCCCTCGGCCCTCGGGGCATCGCGGGCGCGCGTCTCCCGGCGGGTCCTGCGCCCGCCGAGCCTGGTCCCCGGTGGGCCCTCGTGGACGGGCGGCGGGCGGGATCGAGGACGAGGGGGGGAGGAGGAGGAGGAGGAGGAGGAGGAGGAGGAGGAGGAGGAGGAGGAGGAGGAGGAGGAGGAGGAGGAGGAGGAGGAGGAGGAGGAGGAGGAGGAGAGGAGGAGGAGGAGGAGGAGGAGGAGGAGGAGGAGGAGGAGGAGGAGGAGGAGGGGGAGGGGAAGGGGGAGTGGGTGGGGTGGGGGGTCGGGTCTCCGCGCGCGCTGGCGCCCGCCCTGGCTGCCGATGCGCCAGCGTCTTGCCAAGCGGGGGGGCGCTCTTGTGTCCACCACGAGAGGAGGCCGCGGTGCAGGATCAGCGCAGGCGCCACTTCTTCAGCGCCAAGTTCGACGAGCGCAGCGTGGGCGCGCTGTTCCCCTTCTCGTGGCAGGATCGGGCAGCGGTAGCTCGTGCCCCCCCCCCCCCTCCTCGGACGCCTGCCCCTCTCCCGCTCGTGGGTGGACGGTCCCTTCTGGTGGCCGCCCCCCTCCGCCTCTATTCCCTCCAGGAGTGCCGGGGCATCTGCCTTGGAATCCCGCTCGAGTCTGTGAGCAGCCCGGAGTGGTCCACAGGCCTGAAGGGCAACCTTCTGGCTCTCCCCTGGAAGGTCGGCCCCCCCTTTGCCCCCCCCCCCTGGGAGCGCTTGCGACGCCGGGCTCACGTGGCGCAGGAGCGTGTGGCGGAGGGGTGGGGGGACGAGGGCCCGGAGCGGGAGGAGGAGGAGGAGGAGGGGGGGGGAGGGGGAGGAGTGGGAGGAGGAGAGGAGGAGGAGGAGGAGGAGGAGGAGGAGGAGGAGGAGGAGGAGGAGGAGGAGGAGGAGGAGGAGGAGGAGGAGGAGGAGGAGGAGGAGGAGGAGGAGGAGGAGGAGGAGGAGGAGGAGGAGGAGGAGGAGGAGGAGGAGGAGGAGGAGGAGGAGGAGGAGGAGGAGGAGGAGGAGGAGGAGGAGGAGGAGGAGGAGGAGGAGGAGGAGGACCAGTGTAAACCCAAGAATCATCAACGATGTTGGAATAAGCCCTCCCTCCAAGCTCCCTCTTCATAGGTCCCTACAACGGTTCATTTCCACTGAGGGAACTGCCTCGCTGGAAGACAACCGTTCTCGGGATTCCGACGCCACTGATCAACCTGACTGTTGCGTCTTGACGATTCTCAGTCGTGCGAGAGCGCCACTCCTGGGACTTCAACACCGCGAATCAACGTAGCTGTTGCACCCACATAATCCTGAACCCTTTCGAAGCAGCGTTTCTGGTACGTTGATCGTGGGAACCCGTGACACTCTTGCATAAAAAGAAAAGCGCATGTGCGCGGCGCTAAGGCGATAGCCACTCTTTGAAAATGAACCGCCCTCAATCCTTGAAATCCTTGCAATAAGGCGACAGCCACATTTCGAAAACGGCCCGCCCTCAATCCTTGACACATTCGCAACATTAAAAAACGAATGTGCGCGGCGCTAAGGCGAGAGCCACATTTTGAAAACGACCCGCCCTCAATCCGTGAAACTCTTGCATTTTGTAACGAATGTGCGCGGCGCGAAGCCGAGAGCCACATCTTGAAAACGACCTGCCCTCCATCTGTGAAACTGTTGCCAATGTTTAAGCTTCAGGGTCATAAATGGTGAGGATGTCTCACGCGAAACGCCCGGCCCTCCGTAAACATTGGCTTCAGGGTGCGACAGGGAGAAGTGAATTATAAGGAGGAGGAGGCAGGAGGAGGAGGCAGGAGGAGGAGGAGGAGGCTGAGGAGGAGGAGGAGGAAGAGGCGGAGGCGGAGGCGGAGGCGGAGGCGGAGGCGGAGGCGGGGGCGCGGGCGGAGGAGGAGGAGGAGGAGGAGGCGGAGGAGGAGGAGGAGGAGGATGAGGAGGAGGAGGAGGAGGAGGAGGAGGAGGAGGAGGAGGAGGAGGAGGAGGAGGGGGCCGCGGCACGTGCAACGCTCTGGGCGACGTCAGCTGGCCACGCTCGGTGCGGAGGATCGGCGTGTGCGCGCCTTCCTGACGCGGCCGAGGAGGCGTGCCGCCCATCCTGGGCCTTCCTGACGCGGCCGAGGAGGCGGTGCAACTTAGCGCACGTGGCGCCCGTGAGCGCCCACGAAGCGGCACGGGCGGCAACGTGACGCAACCACGGCCGACGCACCCAGCGCACGGGGCGCCCACGAGTGCCCACCAGGCGGCGCGAGCGCCAACGTGGCGCAACCTCGGCCGGCCCACCTAGCGCACAGGGCGCCCACGAGCGCCCACGAGGCGGCCGGGGAAGACATCCTCAGGATCTGCTCGGGAACCAGAGGAGTCTCGGCCACCAAGCGAGCCCCTCGCTCCAGACATTCCCAAAACTCGGCCGCGGACGCGCGAGCGTGCAGTGGAGGCCCATGCTAAGAGACACCCTGCTTGCCTCCAGGGTGCCCTGGGTTTCTCGGGTTTCGATGGTTATGCCATGGAAAGCGTGACGTTCGCACACCAAAAATCAGTGGACGTCTTTGGGTCTCAGGGTTGAGTTTCTTGTGGAAGGTTTCTTGTGGTCGGGTCCCTACTATAACACCGCCCGGCGGCTCACCCTTGGGGTGTTGGCCAGGATCGGTGGGGTGGTAAGCTGACGTCGCCCGAGTTTCAGGGTGGACAAAAACACACAGACACAATTAGTCGTCCACTCCCAGGAAGATAGGGGAACACATGGGGAGTGGGGGGAAGACGAGAATCTTGAAAATGTAAGAAAATACTGGGATTCCTGGGATTTTGTGTGTGTGTATATATTTATCTATTTGTGTGTCCCTTGGCTCCCCCTCAGAGATGCTGGCTGGCGCCGTCCTTGCAGCTCTGGCGCCCTCCGCAGGACCCCTTCCGGGCGCAGGCGGCGCCACCGCGCCTGCGGCTCCGGGCGGATCTCCTGGAGCAGGCCGGCGAGCTCGCGGGGGCCCTCGGGGCCGCCGTGGCCACCTTCGACAAGCTTACCGAGGCCGACGAGCCACAACCGATCGGAGGTGGACAGACCTTTCACCACCCACCAAACCACCCCAACCCAACCCGAAGGCCTCAATTTGCCCTCCATTTCCAGTTGGGGGGGTCGCGGAACACAGAAAAAACACATATGGAACCCGTACCCCCCCCAACCCGAAATTGGGGTCTTCGGGTTGGGTTGGGGTGGTCTGGTAGGTAGTCAACCTTCTACCATGACACGTCGATTGAGGAACTGGCCGTTTTCGGTTCGCGAGGGAGCGTCGCGGCCGGCGTTTTTGCGGGTCCAGGCCCGTCGGTTTCGGTCCCAGGCCGATTTCACCAAGGGGAGGTTTGCTAAAGGGAGGTTTGTCCACCGCCGAACCGAGCGGCGGAGGAAAACGGGCCCGGCTGCGCGGACAGGCGCGCCAGCTGCCAGCGTAAGAGTTAGCGCGCGAGCGCCCTCGTTTCCAGTGCAGCGTGCCGCGTGCCACGGCCCGCGCAGGCCACCGCGCAAGGTCGCCATGCCGTCTCGCGCGCAAGACCCGTTTCCTTTCGTCGCTCGGCCGGGTGAGCTGTGGTCCTCACCCCGCTGGGAGACCCATCGGGTTCGGCCCACTTCGATCCGATCCGATTCCGATTCGGTGTGGTTTCGGCCCACCTCGATCCAATCCGATTCTGACTCGGTGCGGCTCCAGCCCAGGTCGGTCCGATTCGATTCTGATGTAGCGACGATTCGGTGCGGCCCCGATGCTTGCATGGCGCTGCTGTGCATCTTGCGCATCCGATCTGATCCGATCTCGATTCCGCGCATACGGAGGCCCGATCTAGCGCACGTGCCGACCCGAGCCGAGTCCCGGATTCGATGCTGACCGCTCCTGCTTCTCAAGGAATCTCGAAAACGAAAAGCAGAAACACACACACCACTCTGTAATTTCGGGGGATATCGTCTGTCCTGTAAAGGTCGCCGCTTTTCTGGCGTCCGACGTGTACCCGATGGGCACTCGACACGAATTCGACGTGGGTTCGACAAGAATTCGACGTGGATTCGACACGAATGCGACGTGGGTTCGACACGAATTCGACGTGGATTCGACGCGTATTCGACGCGGTAGCGGCGAAATGGGACAGACAAGGTTCTCCGACAACATATTTTTCGGAGGTCCGCGCGGAGTTCTTGGATCGGAGCTGGACCTCCGAAAGCTTAATGTTTGTGTCGCTTGTTTTTCTTCGATGCGATTTGCTCCTCCAGTTGGGGTAAGGATCGATGATCCTCAGCACGTGCGTTGGCCATTCGGTGTTCACCGTGCTTAGCACCACCCGCAGCACGCAGCCGTTGTCGGCCCCGATTGCACCGCTCTCGTCTCATGGAAGGGCTTCAGTGCACAGGAACACGTCGGCGCTGACACCCAGTCTGAGGACCCTCAAGAGTTGTAAGTCCTCTGTTTTTTTGGGGGGGCGCTCTCGGGCGCCCTCGTCGCCACGGCTGGATCCGCCCCGAGATTCTGACCCGGCTCGGCCGGCTTTCACGCTTTTAGGCGGCGTCACCACTCCGTCCACCACAAGCATTCCAGTGTCCCCCTCATCCCCCCCCTCCGAACCCCCCTCTCCCTCCCCCCTCCCTCTGCCCCCCGCCTCCTCCTCAGTCTACTTCCTCCTCCTCCTCCTCCGGCTCCTCATCCTCCTCCTCCTCCCTAATTCCTTCTCCTCAATCCCCACTTCCCCCCTCCCCCCCCCTCCATCACTCATTATGCTCCTCCGCCTCCTCAACTCCCAATCCCTCCTGCTCTCCCTCCTGCTTCTCCTCCATCCCCTCAGTCCTCCTCCCCTCCTCCTCCCCCTCCTCCTCCTCCTCGTCCTCCTCCTCCTCCTCCTCCTCCTACTCTGCCTCCGTCGCCGTCGTCGTCCCCGATCGGCGATCGACGATCGTCGAGCTAGTTTCGAGGTTCGAGGAGCGCGGCTCCCCAAGCTGTGGCTCGGTCGGCGAGGAGGGCTCGCGCTTCCGCGCCTACCGCGCCGGCGACCTGGAGCTTCGCACCTGCCAGGAGGCGGGCGGCCCGGAGACGGTGGGCGCCGTCCTGGCCCCGAGCGCATGATGCCCCCAGGGGGTCGGCGCAGTAACGGCACCCCCTGGGAGCGAGGAGGAGGAGGAGGAGGAGGAGGAGGAGGAGGAGGAGGGAGGAGGAGGAGGAGGAGGAAGAGGAGGAGGAGGGGGCGGAGGAGGAGGGAGGAGGAGCGGGAACGGGAGAGAAGCAGGAGCACGAGGCAGCGAGCACGACGCGGAGGACGGAGGAGGAGAGGTGCGCCGCGTGCAGCCACGAACCCATTTTGGCGAGAGAGAGAGAGAGACGAGAGAGAAGAGAGAGAAAACGAGGAGAAGGAGGAGGAGGAGGAGGAGGGAGCGAGGAGAGGAGGAGGGGAGGAGGAGCGTAGAAGACGTGGAGCGGGAGCGGGAGAGGGGAGGGGGGGGAGGAGGGAGGAGGAGGAGGAGGAGAGGAGGAGGAGGAGGAGGAGGAGGAGGAGGAGGAGGATGATGAGGAGGAGGATAAGGAGGGAGGGGAGGGGGAGGGGGAGGGGGAGGTGGAGCAGGATGAGGAGGATGAGGAGTATGCTGATGCTGATGATGCTGCTGATGATGATGGTGATGATGATGAGGAGCAGGAGGAGGAGGACGAGGAGGTTGAGGAGCAGGGGGAAGGAGGTAGATGGTGATGACAGGGGGGGGGGGCGATGATGAGGATGCATACTGATCATGGTGGTGACGACGATAATGATGTGGATGCTGGTAGTGATGATGATGCATACGTGATGATGATGATGGTGATGAGGATGGTGGCGATGAAGATGGTGATGATGATCATGTTGCTGCTGTTGTTGATGATGTTGATGTCGATGCTGATGATGATGTTGAGTATGATTATGCTACTGCTGATGATGATGCTGCTGATGATGATGCCGATGATGATGGTAGGCCAATGACAATAATGCTGATAATGCTGCTTCTGTTGCAGCTGATGTTGCTGATGTTGTTGATGAGGGTGGTGATGGTAACGATGCTCATGGTGATGTTCAAGTTGATGATGATGATGATGATGCCGTTGTAGGTGTTGCTGTTGATGAGAATGACGATGATGCTGGTGACGACGACGGTGACGATGATGACGATGATGAGGATGATGATAACGATTACGATGACGATGACGATGACGATGATGCTGATGATGATGCTGCTGCTGATGATGATGATGATGATGATGATGATGATGTGGAGTACGCGAGACGAGGAGGGAGGGAGCGGAGGAGGAGGAGGAGGTATTCAGGACGAGGAGGACAGAGACTCATGATAAGGATAAGGTAAGGAGGATGAAGAGTTGCAAGGCGGAGAAAGGCGGCGCATAAGGTGGAAGAGGAGGGAGGATAACGACGATGAGGTGGAGGCGGAGGCGGACAGTGGAAGAGGTGGGACCAAGGCGGAGGTTGGGTGGACGACGAGGGATGCTAATGATTGGGATGGTCTTGGGTGATAGCGACGACGACCGACGACGATGAGAATGATGATGACGCTGATGATGATGATGGTGCTGATGCTGATGCTGATGCTGACGCTGTTGGTGTGGCTGCTGCTGCTGATGCTGATGGTGATGTTGACGATGAGGATGCTGCATCTCATGATGCGGACGATGATGCTGACGACGATGTTGATGATGACGATGAGGATGATGCTGATGATGTTGATGCTGTTGCTGATTATGATGGTGATGCTGATGATGCTGATGATAAGGATGATGCCGATGCTGATGATGATGCTGCTGATGATGATTATGATGATGCTTGGTGATGCTGATGATGCTGCTGACGGTGCTAATGTTGGTGATGCTGGCGGTTGGACCGGTAGCAAAGGTGGCGACGATAAGGGTGATGATGCTGATGTCCGTGCGGCTTGTTCGGATTGCTAGTGCGATGGCGACGATGTTGGTGATGATGATGACCGTGATGACGATGTCGACGATGGTGACGATGATGATGTTTATTCTGCTGCTGAAGATGATGACGCTGATGAGTAAAACGGGACACAGAGGACTGAGTGGTAGGACGACGACGACGGCGACGTGAATAGAATCGTGAAGGATGGGTGAGCAGGACGATGATGATGAGCAGGATTATGATGCGAATGATGTGGGTGCTGATTATGAGAGAGGTGACGACTGAGGGGGAAGATGAAGAGACGGATGAGGAAGGATGTTGCATGCGGGTGGCGATGACGACACAGAATATGATGACGATGATGACGGTGATGCTGTTGCTGCTGATGATGATGCTGATGATGATGATGCTGGTGCTGATGATGATGTTTGTGGTGCTGGTGACGATGATGAGTACGATGCTGACGAGGATGCCGATTCTGATGACGATTGTGCTGACGCTGACGGTGAAGTTGAAGCTGACGATGATGATGATGCTGATTATGATTATGATGATGATGCTGATAATGATGATGATGACACTGCTGCTGCTGATGATGATGATGATGATGCTGCTGATGCTGATGATGCTGGTGATGATGATGCTGATGCACATGCTCATGCTGATGCGGCTGCTACTGTTGTTGATGATGGTGGCGATGATGCTGACGCTGATGCTGACGATGCTGCTGCTGATGATGATGCTGACGCTGATGATGATGCTGATGATGATGATGCTGATGATGCTGAGGCTGGTGCTGATGCGATGCTGGTGATGATGGTGACGCTTGCGATGACGTTGGCCGGCTGATACAGTTGATGGCGATGCCGACGGTGGAGACGCTGATGATGAGGATGTGCGTGGTGATGATGCTAGGGCTGATGAGTTCTCTTCAGCGATTCTTGTTTATTCTGGCGATTCTGGCGATGAGGATGACGATGATGTTCATGATCGTGATGGTGATGATGGTGATGATGATGGTGAATGATGATGGTGCTGGGAATGGTAATGCTGAGAATGACGACGTTTATGATGCTGATGCCGCTGATGCTGATGATGATTATCATGACGATTATAATGATGCTGATGCTGATGCTGATGCAGATGATGATGATGATGATGATGATGATGATGAGGATGCTGCTGCTGATGATGATGCTGATGATGATGATGATGATGATGATGATGATGATGATGATTAAGATGATGAGGATGACGACGACGATGATGATGGTGATGCTGATGATGATTCTGATGATGCCGGCGACGTTGACCACGAATACGACTACGATGACAATGAGGGTGGTGGTGACGATGATGTTTCTGCTGATGATGATGTTGATGATGACGATGATGATGATTATGCTGATGATGATGTTTGTGGTGGTGGTGATGATGATGAGTACGATGCTTACGAGGATGCCGATGCTGATGACAATTATGCTGGCGCTGATGGTGAAGTTGAAGCTGACGATGATGATGCTGATGATTATGATGATTATGATAATGATGCTGCTGATGATGATGCTGATGATGATGACGATCATGATGCTGGTGCTGATGCTGATGATGCTGGTGATGATGATGCTGGTGATGATGATGACGATGAGGATGATGATGATGATGATGATGATGATGATGATGGTGATGATGATGATGATGATGATGATGATGATGATGATGATGATGATGATGATGATGGTGATGATGATGATGATGATGATGATGATGATGATGATATTGATTTTGATGCTGATGCTGATGCTGATGCACATGCTCATGCTGATGCGGCCGCTGCTGTTGTTGATGATGGTGGAGATGATGCTGACGCTGATGCTGATGATGATGCTGTTGCTGATGATGATGATGATGATGATGATGATGATGATGATGCTGACGCTGAGGATGATGCTGATGATGATGATGATGATGATGATGCTGGTGACGATGATGATTATGCTGATGATGCTGATGCTGGTGCTGATGCTGGTGATGATGGTGACGCTTGCGATGACGTTGGCTGGCTGATACAGTTGATGGCGATGCCAACGGTGGAGACGCTGATGATAAGGATGTAGGTGGTGATGATGCTGGGGCTGATGAGTGCTCTTCGGCGATTATTGTTTATTCTGGCGATTCTGGCGATGATGATGACGATGATGTTCATGATCGTGATGGTGATGGTGCTGATGGTGATGATGATGGTGAATGATGATGGTGCTGGGAATGGTAATGCTGATAATGACGTCGATGATGATGCTGATGCCGATGATGCTGATTCTGATGATTATCATGACGATTATAATGATACCGATGCTGATACTTATGCATATGATGATGCTGATAATGATTATGCTGATGATGATGATGATGATGATGATGATGATGATGATGATGATGATGATGATACGGATGCTGTTGCTGATGCTGATGATGATTGTGATGATGAGGATGATGACGATGACGATGCTGATGATGGTGATGATGATAATGATGATGAGGATGATGACGATGATGATTATGATGATGGCGGCGACGTTGACGACGAATACGAATACGATGACAATGAGGGTGGTGGTGTCGATGATTATGCTGCTGCTGATGATGAGGTTGATGATGCTGAGGATGATGGTTATGATGATGCTGCTGATGATACTGATGATGGAGATGATGCTGATGATGCTGATGACGATGCTGATGATGATCTGGATGACGACGATCATGACGAGGGGGGACGGGGGAGTGAGGAGGCCGAGAAGGAGGAAGAGGAGGAGGAATAACTGCGACCCTCTGAGCCTGGATGCCGCCGTGGTCGCACGGAACCGCGAATAAGAGAGAAGGGCAAGAGCGAGCCATGCCCTATGCAGGCACGCACAGTGCGTGCCACTCGCGACGGCTGGCTGCCGTCGGCGGAGAAGAAAAGTCTTGCCTCTCCTCATTGCCTGCTTGAAGTGGGAGGATGAGGAAGAGGGGGAGGATGAAGGGGGGAAGGGGGAGGGGGTGTGGGGAAAGGAGGTGGGGCGGAGGAGGAGGAGGGGGAGGAGGAGGAGCAGGGGGAGGAAGAGGAGGAGGGACCAGTGAAAGCCCAGGACGCATCAACGATGTTGCAGAAAACCCTCCATCTAAGTTCTCTCTATTCGAAGATCCCTGGATAATTTCTCTCCAACTCGGGAAGTGCCACAGTTGAAGGCCACCGTCTGAGAATCCTCACTCGTGCCACTTCCTGGGATTTTCAGTTCTGCGAATCAGCGTGACTGCTGCGTCCAAGCAACCACTATTTGTGATGGAACACGATGCCTGGGACTCCAACGCAGGGAATCAACCGTGACTGGAATCCTGACAGTCCTAAGTCGTGCCAGAACACCGTGACTCGGGCTTCAACCATACGGATCCCTGAGCATATTGCGCACGTTTCAAGCGGATGTGCGCGGCGCTGAGGCGAGAGCCGCATCTTGAGAAGGACCGCCCTTCATCCTGGAACGGCTGCGCACTTGTAAGACGAATTTGCTCGGCGCTTTGGCGAGAGCCACATTTTTGAAATGGCCCGCCCTCCATCCGTGAAGCGTGAAACTGTTGCAATCGTTTAAGGCGAACGTGCGCGGCGCTAAGGCGAGAGCCACATGTTCAAAACCGGTCCGCCCTCCATCCGTGAAACCATTTCGAGATTTCAGGCTTCAGGAGCACAGACGGTGGGAAAGTCTAAGGCGAATCGCCCAGCCCGCCTTACCAACAAGTCAGGGGACACGGCTGGGATGAGTTATCTATGATGGAAAGGGATGGAGCAGATTGGATGAGAGCGGAGGAGGTGGAGGTGGAGGTGGAGGAGGAGGAAAAGGAGGGATCGGGAGGAGGAGGAGGAGGAGGAACACGAGGAATAGGGTTATGGTGGGAGTAGGGGGACGAGGGCAGGTACACCCAGAAGGAGAAGGGAAGATGAGGATGTGGAAGGAGGATGGCTGCTGCTGTTCCTCCTCCTCCTCCTCTTCCCGTCCTTGCTTCCTTCTTCTCCTCCTTGTCCTGCTCCTCCTGGTTTTAATCCCATCTCTTCCTGCTTTTCTCAACCACCTCGCCCTGCCTGAAATGAAAGAGACAGAACATTGCCGTCGCGCCCGCAGCTTCTGGTGGCAGCTGACGTCATGCTGGCACGTGTGAGCGAAGTGGATCTCCACCCGACAACTTATCATGCGCCTGCCTCCCCTCCTGCTGCTCCTGCCCTGGCTGTATCTCCTCTTCTTCTCCCTCCTCCTCCTCCTGCCATCATCCTCCTCACCCTCCTTCTCCTCATCCTTGTCGTTCTCCTCGCCCTCCTCCATGCTTATCCTCCCACTTTGTCCTCTTTCTCTCTCTCTCTCTCTCGTTCCTCCCCTTTCCCTGATACGTATTCCCCTCTCCTCCGCCGTTTCCTCTGCCTTCCTCGCCCGAGGTCAAGCAGGAGGAGGGCGAGGCCGAGAAGAAGGTGGAGAAGAAGCCCGAGCTGCCCCTGCACGGCGCTGGCGTGTGCAAGGCACGGCCTTGTGCCGACTGTGGCCGGGGGAAGGCAAAGGGTTATCATCGGGGGCCCTGAACAGGGACTTTGTCAAAACTCGGACTTCGGCGCGCCCGAGAAAACTGCAGCCGTTTGTCGAAGCATTCTCCATTCTCGGTTCTCTCTGGGTGGAGCTTCAAAGCTCTGGTCAGCCATGTCCTGGTGTGGGGGGCCGTGGGAGCAGGAGGCGCAAGGAGGACGACGAGGATGCGGGGAGAACTGCCGCAGCCCCGCTGTCTGCCTTGCTGCTTCCCCGCTCTTCCCCCCCTTTCCCTCTTGCGTGGCACTGCCGTGGACACAGCGGGCGCATCGTCTTCCAAGGAGGTGCGCGGAGAAACGAGGGCAGTGTACCGGGGAGCAGGGAGCCGGGAGCAGGGAGCAGGATGAGGAGGGCGAGCAGGAGGAGGAGGAAGCGGAGGAGGAGGATGAGGAGGAGGAGAAGGAGGAGAGGGAGGATCAATAATAGAAGGAGTACGAGTAGAAGGAGCATACTGAGGCAAGAAGAAGAGGAGGGAGCCAGATGCGGAGGAGGTGGAGGAGGACGAGGAGGAGGAGGATGAGGAGGAGGATGAAGAGGAGTAGCAGAAGGAGGAGGAGGAGGAGGAGGAGGAGGAGGAGGTGGAGCAGGAGCAAAACAAGCAGGAGTAGAAGGAGTAGAAGGAGGAGGGAGGAGGAGGAGGAGGAGGAGGAGAGCCAGAGGAGGAGAGCCAGAGGAGGAGGAGGAGGAGGAGGAGAGCCAGAGGAGGAGAGCCAGAGGAGGAGGAGGAGGATAACGAGGAGGGAGGAGGAGGTGGAGGAGGAGCAGGAAGAGGAGGAGAGAGGATTGAGGAGCGCGTGCGGCCGCAGAGAGCGGGGCCAATGAGCGACGACGACGACGGCGGGACGAGGGACGACAGGGCGGCGCCTGGGCGCGGGTGCTCACGTAGTTCGCGCGCACCCGGGCGGGGGAGGGGTAAGTGAGGGAGCAGGAGTGGGAGGAGGAGAACCAGGGACAATCCTATGCGCGAGGAGTGCCAACAGATGGACATCGCGGCCATGTCTGTCACGAGCTATCACCCTGAATGCCACGGCGGCCGCGAGGGCGCGGAAGTGTACCCAGCGCATGCCAGTGCCAAAAGAGGCCAGCAATGAAGCATTCACTGAACCATAATGTCTGAGCGTACTTAATTATGTCTCTCCGCATTCGGATACAAGAGGGACATACTAAGCGTGTAATCGCAACATATCTCAGAGCTGTGGAGACATGATGCAGACCATGACAACATGCCGTGGCGAAGTGCTCCCCCCACATCTCGGTCGCCAGCGCAGTCCCAGGAACGTACCGTGGGTGGCCGCGAGCAAGGCCGACCCCACGACCCAAAAGACTGCCTGAACGAGTCGAGGACTTCCGACGTGAACGCGAGATGATGATGATGCTGATGATGATGACGACGATATTCATGATGCTGATGCTGATGATGATGCTGCTGCTTGTGGATGACTGTGACGATGACAATTACAATAACGAGGACCATGCTGATCCTGATAATACTTATGATGATGAAGGTGATGTTGATAATGATGACGATGATGCTGATGAGGATGACGACGATACTGCTGCTGATGATGATGATGATGACGATGATGATGATGGCAATGACGGTGACGATGACGATGCTGATGATGGTGTCGGTGATGATGATGCTCATGAGGATGCCGATGCTGATGATGATGCTGCTGACGATGATGATGATTATCATGATGATGATAATGAATATGATGGTGATGATGATGATGATGATGATGATGATGATGATGATGATGATGATGATGTGATGCTGATGATGTTGATGATTATGCTGCTGCTGATGATGCTGATGTTGTCGATGATGATGAGGATTATGATGATGCTGATGATGATGATGATGATGATGATGGTGGTGCTGATGGCGATTATGATGGTGATGATGATGCTGATGATGATGCGTATGTTGAGGATGAAGATACTGATGCTGATGCTGATGATGATGATGACGATGATGATGATGATGATGATGATGATGATGATGATGATGAGGCTGATGATAATGATGCTGCTGATGATGATGGTGATGGTGATGCTGTTGCTGATGATGATATGGATAGCTATGAGGATGATGATGGCGACATGGTGAAGACGATGATGATGATGATGATGATGATGATGATGATGATGATGATGATGATGATGATGATGATGATGAGACGAAGGATGGAGGATGAGGTGATGCTGCTGCTGCTGATGATGATGAAGGATGATGAAGGACGATGCTGATGATGCTGAGATGATGATGATGATATGATGATGATGATGCTAATGATGATGATGATGATGATGAGATGATGATTGCTGATGATGATATGATGATGATGACGATGATGATGATGATGATGATGATGATGATGATGATGATGATGATGATGATGATGGTGGTGATGATGCTGATGATGATGATGATGATGATGATGATGATGATGATGATGATGATGAAGATGATGATGACGATGATGATGATGATGTTGATGCTGATGATGATGCTGATGCTGCTGCTGCTGATGATGATGATGATGATTGCATTTGGTCTCATCGCTTGTGCATTCGCTCTCTCCCCTCCCGCTGCCTCTTCCCCTCAAGCCTTTCTGCCGTGAACGTTTCATGGCCGCCTGGGTGCACGCTGCCGGCGGCTGGGTTCTCGGGGCGCTCTCCGAGCGCTGGACCGGGGCTGGCCGCAGCGGGGTCGCCGAGGTCTCCTGCCGCTGCGTGTTCGAGGGCTCGGACACGACCGACGGCCTGGTGGCCATCCTCCGGGAGCAGCTGGCACGCTGCGGCCCGGAGCACCTGCAGGGGGTCGCGTGCCAGCCCTGCCCTCCGTGCCCGCTTCCGCCTGGGCACTACACGGGGCTCGACCTCTGCGGCGCGGCCGTGGTGGGCGTGGCCCTTGGCGCTGGGCTGGCGACAGCGGCCTGGCTGGCGGCTGGAGCGCCGGGTCGGCCGGCGGTGCGAGCGCGGGCCCTCGCCGTCGAGGACGACGCCGGCGGCGCGCACGTCGCGACGCCGTCGGCTCTCGGGCGAGGCCGGCGGGCTCCTGGCACCCGCACTGACTAAGGGCCGCCATGGCCCGAGCGCTGGACACGCCGTTCAGCCAGTGCCTCGTCAGGTACGAGGACGACGAGAACTTTCAGTGGCATCATCGAGTCCTGTTGGTGAAAGGCGATGCCCAGAAGTGGATCTGGCTCACGCCGGACGGGGAGGTGGCCTTCGTCGACCTGGCCACCTTTCGGGTGCTGGCCCTTCGGAGGTCGGGCCCGTTCCCAGCTCGGCATGCTGGGAACATCTACGCCTTCGACGACGTGGCGGCGGAGGACATGCAGGGC